AAAATCAACTATTTCTATCCCAAATAATCAATGTTCATTCTAGTTATCAATACATAATATACCTACAGGTACTATATTTGTGGAGTTGACTTATTTCAAACTTTTTAAAACTAAAAATTTATAATTGAAACGGTTGTGGTCCCCATAACAAGAAATATAAATTTTGAAGTGAACAGATAAACTAAAATGATGAAAAAATACATAAGACATAATAATATAGGTAGGTGAGGTAAGACGACGTAGTATAGTAAGTAGTTAAACAAAATGCGAAGGATGTTCTTCTTTTCAACCTCCGATCGCACAGTATAAAGGCCATGCAAGCGGCTGGCTTGAGTAGTAGGCGACTGCGCCTCTTCTTTTACATACACTCTGTCACTGTCACTGCCGGATCCAACACGCCATTTCTTGTTGAGCAGGTTGAGCTGCAGTCACGTAAACTTGGATGTCTCTATTGTTTCTCCCGTCAAGTGCGAATTGTGAAGTGTTATTCGTTTCTTGTGGAATTTATGTAGAAGGGGACAACAATTACTGCAGATTATTATTGTGAGACTTTGCAACGCTTACGGAGAGCTATTCAAAACAAAAAAGAGGCATGCTGACTTCTGGAATTGTTCTAATCCATGACAATGTTTGTCCTCATATTGCTCGTGTAACCAAATGGATAATTTCAATGGGACCTTTTTGAACAGCCACCATATAGTCCGGACCTAGCGCCGAGTAACTACCATCTTTTCCCTGATTTGAAGAAATGGATAGGGGCGCAGCGCTTCCAAACTGACGAGGAGCTCAAAGAAACAATCACAATTTACTTCAAGTCACTGGCGGCAACAATTTATGAAAAGGGTATTGCAAAGCTTGTGCACAGATATGACAAAATTACTTTCGGCAATAAAATCATTTTTGAAAATTAACCCGTCTTTCCTTTATAGCGTAGCGTACATAAGACGGATGTATCAGGAAGCTCGTTGCTAATTTATCGAAGCCACAAAAGAAACGAGAAAATACATAAAACTAATGATATTTAATGGTATAACGATTGTTTAATTTAAAATAGTTTATAATAATTTATTTACACTACGTACCAATTAATTTATTTAACACATTTACCTATACTAATTTATAGTTTCTACTGTTATTCAACAACAATACCTTCGTTTTCAGTGTGTACTTTTAAAATTGAAAAGAACAAATTATTTTTATCTTTCTTGTATTGGCCTATGGTGTTTCAGCCGAGACTGTCTACTGAACTAAAAATTGCGAAACTTTTCAGTTGAATTCAGAGGCAGAGCATTAACGGCAACGTCCAGGAAATTATTTGTAATGATTCCAAACACAATTGAGGATTTAGAGTTTGATGAGAACCTTTTATCGTCTCATTTTAAAGCATTTCACAATAGACCAATTTCGGAGTCAGATAAGCTGTTGAAAAGAACAAATCAAATTGTGGTGAAATAAAGTCAGAAATTATTCTTTGCTGAAAAAAAAAGTGATTTAGAAAGATTTAGAGCTAATTGTAAATATAATAATAAAAAAACACATTTTTGGTTTTATATTCTTTTTTAATTTTGACGTTTTATTGAGTTTTATAAGATTGTATATTTCTAAATTTGGCGAGGAAAACTAACATGGATTATACAGTTATTCTCAGTCAACCAAAATATTTCTATGTAAAGCCAAATTAGGTTTAAATAGTTATTTATGCAACAAGTGCAAAAAGTAAGTGTTTATTGCACGCGACGTGAAATTGTCAACACGTCGAGTGCAATAACACTTTTTGCAACAGTTGCATACACTATTTTTTCTACGTTCATGCAAAAACCAAAAAATGTTTTATTTAGGCGACACTAAGTGCAGAAGAATTAAAAGCGTAATTTAATAGCAAAATATTTAATAACTAATAATTAGCATCGATTAACATTGAAAAAGTACTACATATAACTATGTTAAGAAAAATAATTTAACCAAAACTTTAGGAACAACTGTGTTATGAATAATAATTAAGCTTAGACGTTGTTTTTGCCACTAATATTAAAAGTAAATGTACAATTTGTACAATTTTCAATATTAATATTTTTTAAAACGTAATACAATCTCACAGAATATGAAAATGGACGAAGTATTTGGTGTCGATTTGAATATTTATGTTTGTCATGATCATAAAACGTAAAATGACAGATGAGTGCAATAAAATTTTTATTGCACTAGTTCAATAAAGTTTTGTTTTTTGCATGAACGTAGAAAAAATTGTTTAAAACTGATTTAAGGCCTAATTTAGAATAAACATTATCCATATTTAGAGATAATGCTAGTTATCACTTCAATTACAAAAATGAGTGGTAGTTAACAAGTAAATGATACAGATGAAAGACGATATATGGGTAAATGCAACTCACACATATACCAAAATTGTCTTTTTGATGGTAATGCTCGTTCAAATTGTCACAAGGTCTTGAAATTACCCCAGTGTAATTTTGGACTATAATATCACCAGGCTTGCTCATAGTCAGTATTTCTTAGTTTATTTCGAATTATTCGATATTCTTCAACTCAGTCTAACTCAAATTATCTAAACTATCTAAAGGACTCCAAGCGTATAAAGAAAGAAACATTAATTAATGACTAAAAGAAAAATCTCATACGGTATTTATTAGATTACGAGACAACTGTCCGACGTTAAGCATTAAAGGGTTCAGAGGCTACTACGATATATTGCATATTAATAAAAATATTAACAATATTAACAAAATTAACATTAAGGAAATAATTCCAATTTCTCAAATGTGACCAATTTAAATATGAATGTCAAAGTAAAAAAAAAAATCTCTAAGTCCGTGTCACAGCATAGCCGAACGACCTTTTCCCTCCTGAAAACAACTACTCCCTTGGCTAATACCGCAACAAGTATTGCATTATATCAGGAGGAAAAGAGCGGATATAGAAAATCATTTTTGACATTTTATTTCGCTTCCTAAGGAGAAATCGGTCCAAGTATGACTACAGATAACAAAAACAAGACTCCTAGAGCCGAACACTTTCAGAAAGGTGATTTATTTAGTACTTTCCTTAAAACAAAATGCCTCATTGAAGTTCGAAAAAGTTTTTGAAAATAATCGCTAACTGATCAAATTAAATTCAAATAGATTATTTTAATGCATCATTGATAACATTTTACAGTATATACGACATTACGTTAGTGCAGAAAGTATACTTTTTCTCACTTGTAGAAATATTATCAAATGTGGCTGGTTCTAGATTACAGAACACGGGTTGGATTTCCGATAAAATCAAACCTTCTTTTTCTCTATTAAAAAAAAACTACATACTTTACTTTATATCTTTTAAATGTATTTTACTTCTTATGCTTTTAATATAGACATCAAAATAGAAATAATACATCTAACATATTTGAGTGCCTATATGCGGTAAATATATTATTGTTATCCATACATGGACCTAAAGGATATTTTTATCCACACGTTTAACAAAAGACACTTTCCAATGATCTTATCAGTGGGACATGTGTCACTTTCCTATCTGGTCGTGGAAAATAGCAGTTTGTGCAACAAAAGTAGATGTAATAAACTATATTTTTTCTTTAACTCACTAAAGAAAATCTAAAACATTTTGAAAAGTAATTTATAGAGTATATTAACCATTTTAAATAATCAAAACAAAGATTTGAACTCCTGAATTTTATTAATTTTTCAAATCAAAATGGCTTCAGCCGTTTTTTGAAACCCCCTATCAATATATCTTGCGCCAACAACTTACAATTTATTATGACTTAAATAAATTGATTTTAGATGATTTTATTAAAATTTACTAAAATTGCGTTTTTTTTTGTAAATATAAACAATTATAAATTTAGTGGATTTCCATTTATCGATTCTCCACAAGAACTGCTAATTATTATTAATAATTTTTTATCTTAATAACTAAAAAATACAATTTTTGGAAATATAAAAATAAATAGTCTCCAATTTCCCCTATGAAATTGTGAAAAATACACTTCCATATCCCCAAAGTGAAAACAAACCAGAGAAAAATTGAGAAAGGTGAAATTAAAGAAAAGCAAAAATGAGTGCATCGACCAGGAGTCGAACCTGGAACACATGGTTTTGACATTCAAACTCTTAGATCTGAAGTCAATCAGATTCGGACTTATGTTCCATCCAAGCTCTCTCAATTCTTCTTAAAGCCCACTTGTGATATCGCGTAGAAGGACGACAATCTATGTGATTGTACTAGACGATTTCTAAGATCATTTGTTCACCAGTAAAAATTTAGTTTTCTAGTAAAGTCCGCCGTAAACGCGAAATGAAAGAAGAAAAAATGAAATCTGAAAAACTGAAATGCAATTTTTGGAAATATGAAAATGAATAGTACCCAATTCCCTCTACGAAACTCTGAAAAATACACCCCCATAACTCCCAAATTAAAATCAGACCAATGAAAAATTGAAAAGTTGAGAATTAAAGAAAATAAAAATGATTGCATCGACCAGGTGTAGAATCTGGAACCTTCGGACTGCAGCTGTCCATGCTCTTACCAGTTGGGATATCGAGACACATGTTTTCGACATCCGAACTCATAGATTTGAGGTCAATCAGATTCCGACTCTCGTCGGTGCACTCTAAAAAATATACTGACAATTGATTTGACAGAATTATCAGGGGTACGTGGTACCAAAAATTAACTGTAATTGGTGAATATATACATTCTAGAATAGATATGAAATTATGTCCGTTTAGAAAATAGATACATGCTATACATGTAAGTATAAAAAAATATTAACATCCACAATGAATCCATTTTATAGTGTGACATAAAAAAATCTATAATTAGTGTATATGTCATGGTAACTGTCGAATTTGGTAATTATTAGAGGATTTTTTGATGAAATAAAAATAGATCTACGAAAATATATCAAAAATCAATAATTTATTTAAAAACTTTTAAATTAATTCATTATTCTTAACCTAACTTTCTTATTGTTTCAGGTATGTTAACAACGTCATGTACAGGACCGGTTCGCTTAAAGGTTTGTTGTATAGTAATTTACTTAGTATAAACGAGAATTGGCTATGTAACTGTTCGCAATGATTAACATTAAATAACTATTACTTATCAAAATATCTGCACATCGGAAATAACATTGGATTATAATTCTATCCAAATCACAGAATATGATGCACTCTATCCACTCCAAAATTCATTATATCTAACGGTATATTTACGTCGGCGAGTCTCTATTATGTATTATTATCATTGCGACAAGTTTACACGAGACTATCAGATCTGATAGGTGATACAACAATATCGTAAATACATATTAAATAGGATTTTTCTGCAAGAATAAATATGTATGCATTTTTAAATAGATATCTACGTGTAAGTCGTTGAATAGTGAAACGTCAATGCCAATTCAGAGAAAAAGTAGAGTTGGACGATGCATGATTTTTCAATACTTTGAATCGTTAGCGTGATTAATAAGATACAAATAAACGAGGTTACGTTTCTTCAAATCATTAACAAATATTCCTAATTATTTTTCATAAAAAACAAAATGTATGAAACCGATATATTTTGTGAGTTAGATTAATATACTAGATAAGTTTCTAGAAAAATTCAAATTTGGTGTAGAAAAAGATGATCACTAAATTGATATTATGAAGCAACCTTACGTTCAAGACTCCTATTGTGCACAATATTGGTAAATATTTTAGTATCACTGTTTTATTTGAACCAGAACTACATAAATGTTATGCTAAATTTCATAGTGCACACGTTACACGGTGTACTGAGAGTCGCTTCACTATTGTACTACATATAAAGAAATATTTTTTAATGTGTAGATCTCGGCGTAAGTACTGTTAAGGTCAGGACACATTCAGATCTAGCAGAAACTTTAGTGGCTTATCCTGGTGTTATGAAAAATAAATTAGTATTTGTTGATATTATGCATCTCTCACCCTATGGAGTGGACAGACGGAATTTCCCCACCCGGTCTTTTACTATCGTGGGGGTAGAACTCACGAAATGTCCACTTCAAAAACGAAAGCATCTTGGCGACGTTATTAACCTACAGGAAACGTATCCCTGGACTTCTTAATTTTTGGACGTGTTGGGTGGTAGGTCCTATGTCTCTAGAGGATGCACATTGGACCTAGTGGGGCCTAAGTGATGTGGAGCAACTTACCTACCCAATTTTGCAGATACAAATTATGCAACTCGTATTAAATACTAATTCTTTGAGGAAAATGTTCTTCTTTAAATTTCAAAAGGAAGCTATTGGAATACTGGCCCAAAGGTTTTCGAGAAGCCTGTCAATCAATCTTTGCAAAAATTATCTTCGTTCCCTAAAAATATTTAATTTGCAAACTAACACTGTTAGAATACTGGCTAATAAAAATTTCTTTAGAACCCAGTCAATCACACTTTGGGGATATTTTCCTAGTTCCCTCAAAATCTTTAAATTACAAAAAAATACTGACCCTTTCAACCACTATTTATAAAACTTCGTATTATGCCGCTACCAAACTTCTTTCTATTTCACTAGAAAGTTAAAAAAAATCAAATATTTTAACAAGACAATCTGATATCCACGAGCGTTATACCAAAAATGCCAATAAAATTTGAACTACTGGGCACGGACTCTCACAAAAACTGAAAGAAACGCTTTGAACTTTAAAATTTACAGTACATGATTTTATCGGAAGACATATTGCTGTTGCAAGGTCATTTGCGCCATCTATCATTTTACATAGTAAGTTTTAGAAACTGTAACTTATCATTTCGGCAATATGTCTAAGGTTACGACGTAGAATAATTTTTGTTTTTTTCCTTGTCTTTTTCTTTAGCTATATGGGCTCCGTTTTGTACTAGCACTACCTGAGGTCTACCTCGCTTGCCAAGAAGCGCATGTTAGGGCTCTTATCGCTGGTTTTTGTAAAATAAAAACACTGGCACTAGGTAGATAGTGAAAAACTAAGCCCATACAGCAAGAGAAGAAGACAAGGAAAAAGAAGAAATTTATGATGACGCCGTAACTTTAGACACATTGCTGAACTGACAAATTTACAGTTTCCTTTGAAACAAAATTCTGCTTCTGTTACTTGCTGTGTAAACTGACAGATAGCGAAAGGCTCTTGCAATGACTTTGCATCGGCGAAATGTCTTTCGATGAAATCATCTGTTGTTTTCAAAAGAATATAAATTACGAAATAAAAAAAAACGAAAAACACTATTCTGTGGAATTGCTTCTACTCTGTCAGTGAGTATCTGAGACATTTTGCGCAACATTTTTTTTAATTACCAATATGTACTCTTTATTGTTGTATTTTTTATTGTATTTAATTGCCTATTTGTATACAACCTGCTCATCATCATCATCATCATCTGAATTAGGGCGTGGTTCAAAGCCCACTTGTACTGAAGCTCTAGGCTTATTGTACCCCTCACAGTTTCTATCCCATCAGATTGATTTTCTTGATGAATTCAAGAATATGTCTGATGGGCGCTTTCGCGATTTCTTCAGGTTCCGGATATTGTACCCCGACGTACCATTCCCGTTCCCATTTAAGGTTCCGGCAGTGGCATAGTATGTGAATAGGAGTTTCGTCCTCCTCTTCACATATTCTACATAGGGAGTCATCAGATATCCCTAAGAGATTTAGGTGTCTTCTAAGGCCGCAGTGTTCCGTAAGGAGTCCTATTACGGCCTTGAGTTCGCTTCTGCTAAGATTTAGCAGTTGATGTTGTCTGCTCGTGGATGGCCCCTCTATGAATCTTTTCAACAACCTGCTACAAACAAATGTAGTCAAATAAGTAAATTAAATTATAAGCCTAATTTAGTTTCGTATTATATCTAGTGTTACGTTATCTGAACTATTTAATGTCTGATATTCGACACTGTTTATAGATCATAAAGGGGCATTATAAGAGCCTGATACGAAAATCATGAAGAGAAAACTACTCTTTTGCCAATGTCGATTCGTGAGGTTCTAAAACAGCAGTTAAAGTTGTGATGAAACAAATAATTAATTCAATATATCTCAATTTGGTGTAATTATTGTTTTACTATTTAAGATGAATCATATTTGAGCATTTTAATGTCTTTTTTTATTGAGAAAAATTACATTAACACTAGATTTAAAAGACATTACAAATGAAATGGTTATTAAACTATATGATACTAAATACGCGTTAAATATGAAAGGCCAAATTCTCTTTATTTTTTTAACTAATTCCAGGCATTTTGTTTCAATAATGTAGTGTATCAAAAGTTTTACTATGGCGCAGAAAGTTCCATGACTTAAGATGTATAATGTTAAAATTTGATTTTTGTTACTCACGACTAATATATTTTGTACTTTTAAGTTAATATTCGATATCTTAGAGAATCTGTTAAAAGGAGTGATCCACAAAAAAATTGGAAAAATTCATGCATGTCGCAATTCTTTTTTTTTTTAATGTCAGTTTAGATTTATTTCAGAGCCGTAAGATGCTATCATGAATATGACTGGTATCTTTGTCTTTATCGGTATACCATCTGTATTTTAAAGGAAAATATTTATTAGTCAATGAATAGTAAAAGATTCCTTAATCCAATACCTATATTACATTTGTCATCAGATAAAAAAGACATTTATAAAATATGTTACTTTAGTGTTAATTAAATGTATTATCCTAGTCTACTTTACATTTAAATATATTGATATTTTTAAAATTTGAGATTGTATACCTCTCCAAGTAAGTATTCGTTAAATGCTAATTTATTGACTATATTATATTTATTTTTTAATAATATACAATATTAATTCTCCATATCAGACCCGTTAAAACAAAAGTTTTGAAGTCACTAGTTCCATACTTTATTTTATAAAATAATTTAAATGGAATTGAATTAAAATTTAATTTTTAAATCTATCTTCTACTAAAAATTGCAATTTGAATTAACAGTCTATTTTTGTCTATTGTCATTTTAGTTCTTACTCCAAACAGAATGTGGCGCTAATTTGGTTTAAAAGTTTAACATTGGCGTGGGGTCCCTAGAAGATAGGAGCTTTGTGGGATTCGCTATGTAAACATTCTATTTTATTTTCATTTTAGCGAAATAACTATATACCCTCGGTATATACAATGATTCTTGAGGCCGAAGTCCTGCTGTTATCTTTGCCTCAATCAATTATATTACCGTTTACATGTACATTAAACGTATAGTAACGGTTGTTAGTTTATCGTTTACACATAGTGATTGTGATATTTATGAGGGCTCAAAGGAAGGGAATTTCAAAACAAATTTAACAAAGTGATGGGAATTGTTTAATACGCAGATTATTAATTTACTTTAAACGGCCATGTTGTGGTTCAATGCAATTTTGCTAATATTATAATTAAAGCGAACCTTGCAATTGATTCCTGTTAAAAGGATAAAGGTTAATAATTTTGAGTAAAACGCTCAATTTCTATAAAACTAGTAAAAAAAGTTCCTATAACTATGGGTCGTTAAATACATATTAAGGGATTTAGGGGCGTCAAAAGGGCAAACTTGGAAAGTGGTTTTTTTGAAATTGTAAGCTTAAAAAACACGATAAAACTTCGAAAAAAATCCCTGTTGACATAAAATTTACTGCTGAATCCAATGGTAAAATCAAAAATTACTTATTTAATCAGAAAGGGTAGTTCTTGCAAGGGTAAGGGGTCGATTTATGATTACCTTTTTAGGGGTTAATTTTTTTACAACGTGGTCTATTTTTTCCATAAAAAAGTTACTCCTATTGCAAGTCGCTTAAAGCAACCGTTTTCGAAAAAATTGAAGGCAAAGAGTTTGGTAAACCTGTAGTTGAAAAAAGAAAAGTAAAATTACTTATTTTTTGATGGGTATCTCACAGATTAATAAACATAAATTTATGAAAATTATGACGTGTTAAACTAATCAACCTTCCAAAAAACTCATAAACACTAAAGAAAAAAAATATTTTCAAGTAATGTCGAAGAAATTTTATTATGAAAAATTATTTTTTGTCTGTGGGT